GAATGTTACAGTCATTGTGGCATTGAATTCCAGGGTGGAAACATCAGTTTAATTGTTTTAGTGACAAGAAAACAAATTTTGATATCGTCGGCTTACCCAAAATGAAAGGTTACGTGCCCTTGGCATGCTACAGATCGGCACAACACAGGCGGTTGTGGCGCGGACGATGAATGTTTCTCAGTCTGTCATAAGCAGGCTATGGTCCAGATACCGTGATACACAATCTGTACAGGACAGACCACGCTCAGGTCGACCAAGGGCGACAACTCAAGCCCAGGATCGATTTATCCGTACCTTGGCCTTGAGAAATCGTGTCATCACAGCAAATCAGATCAGCGCTCGTCTTCAAACAGACACTGGTGTGAGAGTGAGTGGCCAGACGATTCGGAATCGACTGCATAGGGGTCACCTTCGCGCCCGACGTCCTCGCGTGATCCCTTGTTTGAGAGATCATCACATTCAGGCAAGACGTCGTTGGTGTAGGGATCGTCAACACTGGGATAATCGACGCTGGAGCAATGTGATGTTTTCAGATGAGTCAAGGTTCACTGTTGATTTTTTGGACAGACGTAGGAGGGTGTGGCGTCGTCGAAACGAGCGCTTCCAAGACGTTAACGTCATCAGACATGATCGATTTGGGGGTGGTTCTGTTATGGTGTGGGGAGGCATCACTGTTGCTGGAAGAACGGCTTTACATGTTGTTGCAGGGCGTGTTACAGGACAGTACTACCGGGACAACATCTTGGCAGTCCATGTTGTGCCGTTCGCACGACGTCATGGCCGCCGTTTCATCTTCCAGGATGACAACGCAAGATGTCACAGGGCCAGGATCGTTACAGGTTACCTCCAACAACAGAACATCACCACATTACCTTGGCCAGCACTGAGTCCCGACCTCTCCCCCATCAAGCATGTCTGGGACATGCTTGGACAGAGGTGACGTCAACGTCAACAACGTCCTGCCAATGTCCAAGAACTTGCTGCTGCGTTGCAACAGGAATGGGACAATCTGGACCAAAATGACCTTAGACGTCTCATTAGGAGTAGGCCACGTCGGATCAATGCTTGTTTGGCAAACAGAGGATGATTTACCCGTTACTGACTTGGTTGTGATGCTGTGGTAACTTTGCTGTTTGACCCCGGGTATCATTTTACCCTTATAATGGTCAGTCTGTGCCTTACTTAGTCTAACGATCATTTGGAATAAATCGATGAATGTGAACTTCATTTCATTTTGTCATTTGTTTCTTCGTCAGTTTCATTAGGTGACTTTAATAACACTTAAAAATCAAATATCCCCTACTTTTTTTGAATAGTATATTAATCATCATGAAATATAGTAGTGTTTGGTATCTAGATTCCTTCATCTCACATTATACCTGGCTTCTAGTTTACAAATAATTCTCAGACTTGAGTTAATAATTGTTCTTCTTATTTTAACTAAAACATTTGTTGTTTTAATGTATCAAATAGATCCACAAGAAACTAGTGGTTCTGGATCAAAGATATTTCTTATAAACAGTGATCGAAAGTTGAGTATATTCTTAACGTAAATCTGAGAATGCTGGTGGACTCCGGGCCAGGTTTTAATTTCTGTGTTTAAGGGGATAAGGTTAAGAAAAGAACGGGTTAATGTTTTTAATCAAGGGACTGACCAAACAAATAGATGGCCCATTTTCAAATTATTTGGTAATTTTTTGTGACAATTATATTTTAGAAACAGTAAATAATTTAAATATTTAAATATATTTTAAGGTATTCATCCTTTACAATAGAGGTCTATGTTTTTATGGCAAGAGTCTACACTAACTTTGTGATATAAAAAGCTAAGTATCAATACCCAACATTAGGATAAAACTCAGAATAACTATTAATAATTTGAAAATTTCATTCCAATTACTCTATTGCGAGTGAAGATATTAGCCTTTGAAGGTTTGACAAGACGTGTGCAATAATTTCAACCATCGTACTGGTTGTTCTAAACTAAGTCCCGCTCCACCATTTTTAGCTTAAATCAAAATATGGCTGAACTGTTCTAATCTATTTAATATCGGAGAAATCTGATGCCATCGAGAGTTGATTATGGCCTGGATAAATTAATTAATGTCTAATTAATAATTTAGAAAACATTTCAAGCCTAAAGAAAGACCTGCAATAGGCAGATTTAGCTCTTGCATAATGTATGTTTAATTATTGGTAATTCAAAATCTATTCTTGACATGATACATGTATTTTTAAAGGCAAAATCTAATATGAGATCACTAAGCTAGACAATATCTGCCACACACAACATAATAACGTAGAATTAATGAAGTTATTGCATGCCAAAAACAAAGAAAAAATATAAGTAAATAATATCTTAATAAAGAGCTTGTGGTAAAAATCACAGATTTGTTTAAAAAAATTAACACTATTGCATAAAGTACAACTACTGCCATTCTAATTAGTAAACATGTATACAGGTTAAAGTCTATACATATATAATGAAAAACACAATACAATTTATCTGTATAAATGTCTGTGTGTATGTGTGTTTGTGGGTGTGTATGTTCGCCTTTTACGCTTCGTTGCCGCGATCTATGTGGTACCAAATTAACCAGCATGACCACGTGAATGTTTCAGGTCATCGAATTTGGGGGCCAGGCAAATTGGGCCTGGCCCACCGGGTTAATCACGCTTCGTATCAAATTCACCAGCATGACCATGTGAATGTTTTCGGCCATCAAATTTGGGCCCCCTGGCAAATTTGGGCTCCAAGCAAATCTGGTCCCCATGCAAATTTGGGCCTGGGCAAAGCCATGTATCCTGCTAGTATGGAATACAATCGATGGTTTATACACATATAATGATAAGAGAACACTTGTTGAAATGTGTATAACTATAAACCAGTGATTGTTTTTCAATATAAATTGTGTCATGTTTCTATTGTGCTCAATGGCTAAATGCCACTCAAGGATTATATATATATAATGAACAATTGGTTTTGTTATTAATTAAATTCCAGTTGGTGTGGCCTAACTGCCCTAGTTGCTAAGCCATTCATTATGAAAATGGCTGTCAGTCATTAAGGAAAATTCTGCTTTTATATGGTAGTTAAGTCTTCGAAATAAATGCAGTTTAACGTCCTACTGTTTTGCTCTACCTGGGCTAATGAAGACGGGCATACACCATACAGTGTGCTATGACGGAAATTTTGCCTGGACAGCGACGATACAGTTTACTGATCAAATTCAAACTGAGATGGGATCTTTTATGTCCTCGCCAATGTGTACATGGGACCTCGGTTTTTCGTCCCATCCGAATGACTAGACAACTGTCCAGCACTCTGTCCTGCACCACTGACAAGGGGTGTCTTTCAAATTAGATATTGAACTGGAAATACACAGGTAACAATTCTATGGAATACAATTAATGCTTAAGTATATATTGTCTCGTCACATTTTATATTGTATCATTACGATGTTGTCCATCACATGAAAGGTCTTGAGTTTAGCACTACATTTCTAAATCACAAATAACATTGTAGGCCTACAGATTATTCAGTTAACATAACACAGTATCTCTTAACAACATATCCCTTCACTCGTAACAAAGAGTGTAAGAAGAGAAAGAGAGAAATGGGGTTTAACGTCCACTCAACACAAACTAGGTCATTTCGGGACTAAAACATGGTTCCATTTTATTTCAATAATTCGATGCACGTAGGGGTCTTTAGCAGTGGGAGGAAACTGGAGTACACTATGAAACCCACGAGGGTGGACAGACGACTCTACTCCTTGCCACGTAGAACCAGGGAATCAGTTGACTCAATGATGATACAACACCCACGCGTTAACCATTTGGCCATCCAAACCCCCTTGTAGGCCTACAGATTATTCAGTTAAAATAAGACAATATCACTTTACAACATATCTCTTCACTCGTAACAAAAAAGTGTAACAAGAGAAACAGTGTTCCCGCGGCTTCGTCAAACATTTTTTCAAGGATATTCAAGGATAAATATACGTCAAATTCAAGGATTTTCAAGGACATTTTTTAGCCTAAAGTTACAATTTTTCATCTTAAAAATAACCAAAACATTACCAACTATCGTTATAATCTCATATTTAAAAGGAATTGAAGACATTTGAAACAAAATTAAGGATCTCAACTGAAATTCAAGGATATTTTCCCATTTCCGCGAAATTCAAGGATATTCAAGACCTTGAAAATGAAATTTTAAATTTAAGGATATTCAAGGATTTTCAAGGACCGCGGGAACCCTGAGAAAGCACATAAAAGTAAGGCCACAAATAAACAAATAATCTACCCAATTCTTTAACACAAACATTTGTTCCCATTTACCTATACTATACATAAATGTACCACAAACAATATATTTTATTCAAAGTGCCCTAAAGATAAATAAAACAGGCTGAATTATCCCTCTTCACATTTTTAATTAAGTCAAAATATATTTATACCGTGGCAGATTATTTGCATTTATTTTAAAGGCTCAATGCATCATTTGCATCTTCAATAAAATATCAAATTTCTCACAAATTAACCCACGCTAAATATGTACTCAGATAAAGCAGGACACTTGATCATGAGCAGGACACTTGATCATGAGCAGGACACTTGATCAAGAGAAGCTTACTGAATAACAGAAGTGATTATTACAACTTAATAATATGCAATAAGGCTCACTGTTGACTAGATAAGTTTTACACCATAAAAAAATAGAAAAAAAAATAATATAACATATTGAGTTTTCAAAAGTACTGAGATTTTAAAAGTATAACATATTGAGATTTCAAAAGTATTGAGATGTTAAAAGCATAACATATTGAGATTTCAAAAGTATTGAGATATTACAAATATAATGTATTGAAATTTCAAAAGTATTGAGATTTCAAAAGTATTGAGAATCTAAAAATAAGAGTAACAAAGAGTAACAAATTGAAACAAAACAAAATAAGTAAATAATGAAAACAAATTGCATTGAGGAAGTGATAACAAGTAGTAACAAATTGATACCAAGTGAAATCAGTAAATAATGAAAACAACTTGTATTAAAGAAGTGATAGCAAAGAGTAACAAATTGATACCAAGTGAAATCAGTAAATAAATGAAGACAACTTGTATTGAATAAGTGATAACAAAGAGTAACAAATTGATACCAATTGAAATTAGTAAATAAATGAAAACAACTTGCATCAAGGAAGTGATAGCAAAAAGTAACAAATTGAAAAAATACGAGATAAGTTAATAAATGAAAAAAAAAAATTGATTAAAAAGAGAATTATAACATGTTAACAAGTACGTTTTAACAAACAACGAAAACAAAGCATCTATACTCGATCTTCCAACACGTAACCAATTATAAAAACCAATGCGTTCTCTGAAACCCTTGAGCTGAAAGAAAAAAATAGATGTCATAAATATAGAATTATGTCAACTTCTGTGTTAATTCTGGTATTGAATATCTTGGTCAATGTCTTTGCTAGTTTGAGATTTGAATTAGAATTACAGTTTTGGATTTTTGACAATAGAGAGAGAGAGAGAAATGGGGGTTTAACGTCCACTCAACACAAACTATGTCATTTCGGGACTAACACATGGTTCAATTTTATTTCAATAATTCACTTGCGCATAGGGGTCTTTAGCAGTGGGAGGAAACCCGAGCAAACCCAGTAATTTAGGCAGGCGACCCTACCCCATGTCATGTACAAGTGTGGGCTTGAAACCATGTCACCGGACGTAATATAAATATTTATATTATTCGAATGTACATACCTATTGCACATAATATCACTTTAGTCTGTAAAAATAAAAGATAGCTTGTAGAAATTAAAAATCTTGAGTTAGTGAGTTAGTTATCTCCTCTTTAGTCTTCAGCTTCAGAACAGAGTTTTATCCCCTTTTTGTCCCCAGCTTCTGAACAGAGTTAACTCCCCTTTAGTTTCCAAGGGAATGCTCAATTGTTTTGTCAGACTAGACCACTGAGGTGGTTGAGATACTTTCTTATGCAGCTGCGGCATACACTGTAGCCAAAAATCCTGATTTTCACTATTTCTAGCATTGAGAGAATTCAATTCTAGAATGATCAATCGAGTATCCCTTAGATGTCAAATTTGATTTTGCAATTCATAGTTCTAGTGGGTTACTTTAAATCTAGTTTCATATCATAATTTGATGCAAAACTTATCAATGGTAATTATGATACAGGAATGTATTACTTCAAAATAAACAAAAATATTTGTCTCTCTTCTATCACTGAAGGAGGTCACATCTGCATGAAGTTGGTACAGAATATAACAATAAAATACAAAGCATTCTCAGACTTAGTTAAGAATTTACTCAAAATTGTTTGCCTTATTTTAACTAAAATATAGCCGTTTATAAAACTTTAATTGTTTTAATGTATCAAATACATCAATAAGAAACTATGTGCAAGTTTTCGCGTTTCTGGATCAAAGATATTTCTCATAAACTGTGATTGAAAGTTGAGTAAATTCTTAATTTAAGTCTGAGAATGCTTTGTGAACTCGGGGCTTGATCTTTTTAGCTCTGGGAAACAAGTGGTATCAAGTGTTCTAGATGACACTAGGAACTAAATAGAGAGATGATGATAATAATAATAATACCAATTGTGAAAACTCACCATATCTCTAGTTGGTGCATGAAATACATGACACACAAAATCTTTTGACAAGTTACATGACGTTTCACTGAAAATATTTATAACCATTTTTAAATGTAGTATTTGTTATTCTGAATACAATAACAATTATACAAAATGCTTTTGTCTAATAACAAATATATGGTAATCATTTCTACAGATGAATACAGTATAAATAACAGATTCCATTCACCTCCTTCAATAGAACTAAAGACTATAGTGAAGTGTTAGCCAAGGGCTTTCACTTGCAAATTTTTACCAGCTTTTACCAAATTTTTGAAGCATTTTGTTTACCTCAGATAATCAAACCATTTTTCACAAAGAACTTGATAATTATCTAAATTTCTATATATTTTGATGTGTTTTACACACACAAACTATTATCAATTTAGCTGACTTTATTGCGTTTTAAGATTCAATTCTTTAAAATGCTAATTTTATAGTTGGTAAATTGACTAACAGACCAGCTCTCCATTCTGCACACTGAGATCCATCTATTTCATATTTCGAGACTAAATCTCGGTCCTGACTGGCCACCATATCCAAAAATTCGTATATACACACACTATGACTAAATAAACCTATTCGATTCCAAATGAAACGTAATTAGATGGAGAAAGGAAGAAGATTTATTTACCCAGCAATGTAAGAGAAATGTTGAATATAATCTGTGCGACGTCCACATGCGGATACTTCTGTATATGAATGATTTAATATCTCCTAATAAAAAAATAAAATATCATTCAATAAATAAAATGGACTAACACAAACTTATTTCAATAATTTGCTTGTGTGTAAGGGTCTTTAGCAGTGGGAGGAAACTGCAGGATCAGGAGAAAACACACTAGGTTTGGCAAGCGACCTTACTCCTTGTCACGTAAAAGCTTGGGATCGAACCACGCCAGTTGACTTAATGACAGACCTTACGGTCTAAAATGAAAAGTGTTAGACCACTCGAGAATGCTGAATGTTAACAAATCTTGCTTCATCACGTTTTTGTAAACACTGGATGGAGTTGAACCATTTTTTGACTGATAAATCATTTTTTGACGGATATTCCTTCTAGAGATTCAACCTTCATAATATTGTAGAGAGAGTTTAACCCGTTAAGTGCGTAGGTCGTTATATAATGTCCTGGACAACTGCCACTCACTGTGTGTAGGGGGTAATATAACGCCTTGGAGGTATTTTCCCCAACCTATTCTTAGAACATAGTACATAGTTCTTCGTCACTTCGTCAAATTAATTACACAATAGGGGGTTGTTAATATTTTAAAAACGTCATGCTTAACGGGTTAAAGACACTCAAATTAAAGAATATGGTTTAATATCTTTTTAATACAATACTTCGCTAATTTCAATTTTTAACTGTCTAGGGTTCTTTTATATGCATGCCAATTTTATATATCTCCTTAAAGTATTATACGATTCAGTTATCAAAAATATCATGATAGATTTTTTTACCCTTTTGTCTTTTTCACTTGTTACAACAATACCAGTTTCTGACATCGCTATGGTAACAGGCTGAAAAGTATAATTCTAGATGTTAATGGAAAGTTTTTTCAGAAAGAGAGAGAGAGAGAGAAATGGGGTTTAATGTCCACTCACATAAACTAGGTCATTTCGGGACTAACATGTGGTTCATTTTTTTTTCAATCATTCGCTTTAGAAGTGGGAGGAACCCCAGGACCCAGAGAAAACCAACAAGGTTGGACAGGTGACCCAACTCCTTGTCACATACAACCTGGGAATCGAAACCAGGCCAGTTGACTCAATGACAGACCTTATGATAGAGCATGCAAAAATGAAATGAAATGGGGTTTAACGTCCTACTGTTCTGCTCCTAACCTGGGCTAATGAAGACGGGCATACGCCATACAGTGTGCTATGAGGGAAATTTTGCCCGGACAGCGGCACTACGGCCTACTCTTATATCGAATTCCAACTGCCAAGGGATCTTTTACGTGCACGCCAATGAGTACACAGGACCTCGGTTTTTCGTCCCATCCGAACGACTAGACAGCTTTCCTTGTCAGGCCCTCCTTCCTGCATCACTGACAAGGGAGAACCACGCCGGAAAATCTGGATGAACTTTCTCGGCCAATGCAGGGATCGAACACCCGACCTCCAGACTAGCGAGCTAGCGTCTTACCCACTTAGCCACGTGATCCCCGATAGAGCATGCACATGCTAACCATTCAGACATCCACCTCCCCCCCCCCCCCCCTCGGAAAGGATTTTCAAGAGTAGAAAAAAATTGAATTATACTGATAAAAATATTCAATCGATTTCACCTTCATCATTTCTGTGTGTTGTAGGATCTTTTTCGTGAAAAGTTACACAAATGTTTTATCGATTTCATCTTCATAATCTTTTTCGTGAAAACTTACACTAAAAATACAGCTGAACCCCAAATCCATTCACTTGCTTTAATATTTGTTGTTTCTTTCTGTGTAGTTTGTCCACAGATTTGTCTTGTCAGTTTTAGTTGTGTTTAGTGTAGTCGTCCTGCACTTACTATTGATTATTGCATCTTTATACAACTAGAACCTAACATTGTTTATTTGAAACTAGACTGGTAGCAAATTGTATAAGCTTTCTGTAGAACAATCAATTTCAGGTAAAAACAAGCACATCGAACCATGGCCATTCTGTAATGGCCTGCCAGTCGAAAAACAATCTAAATCCACAGCATCCCGGATGCGTCAAGCATTCTCATCCATCAGGTTTCAAAGTTTGTTTTGTGTTTTATGCGAAAAGACAAAAATGTTACTTAGATCGTTCTTTCCCTGCCAGTCGAAAACCAATCTAAATCCACAGAGTCCCGGATGCGTCAAGCATTCTCATCCATCAGGTTTCAAAGTTTGTTTTGCGTTTAATGCGAAAAGACAAAAATGTTACTTAGATCGTTCTTTCCCTGCCAGTCGAAAACCAATCTAAATCCACAGAGTCCCGGATGCGTCAAGCATTCTCATCCATCAGGTTTCAAAGTTTGTTTTGCGTTTAATGCGAAAAGACAAAAATGTTACTTAGATTGTTCTTTCCCTGGGCTCTTCATATCCAGTTTTAAACTTACCTCATTAATTCTATCTTTTGATTCTAATACTTGTATAACACCATCTTCTATTCTCTCTACACGGCCATCCTAAAATAAATACAAGTTTACTTCATTTACTTTCTACTCGACCATTCTAAATTAATTACATGAAAAGAAATTGAGTTTAACATCCTACTGTTTTGCCCTGACTGGGCTAACAAAGACGGGAATACACCATACATTATGCCATGAGGGTAATTTTTGCCGGACAGCGGCGCCAAGGCCTACTCTTATATCACATTCCAACTGCCAAGGGATCTTTTACGTGCATGCCAATGTACACTAGACAGTTGTCCTCCTGCACCACTGACAAGGGGGAACCATGCCGGAAAATCCTTATGAACTTTCTCGGCCAACACCGAGATTGAACCTTCGATCTCCTGGCTAGCGAACTAACGTCTTACTCATCCACCTTGGCTCCTAAGTTAGCTTTCTAAAAAAATTACAAATTTACATTTGAGTTGTAATTAACTTTCTACTAATTATCCTAAAATAATTACATTTTTACTTCTGAGTTATCATTAACTATTACTGTAAATTTATCTTTTTGAAACAAAACCCAACAATATTCCATTCAATGCAATGAACAGATAATGGTAAGTATATTTCGGAATGCATGTCAATCATAAATTTATATAACATTATATTACATTTGTCCAAGTATAGACATAGTTTGTAACTTTTAAAATGTTAAAACAGAAATTAAATGAAATGAAATGGGGTTTAACATCCTACTGTTCTGCTCCTATACTGGGCTAATGAAGACTGACAAACGCCATACAGTGTGCTATGAGAGAAATTTTGCCTGGGCAGCGGCACTATCGCCTACTCTTATATCGAATTCCAACTTCCAAGGGATTATTCACGTGCATTCCAATGTATACACAGGACCTCGGTTTTCCATCTCATCCGAAGGACTAGACAGCTTTCCTTGTCAGGCCCTCCGTTCTGCACCACTGACAAGGGGAAACCACATTGGAAAATCCTGATGAACTTTCTCGGCCAATGCCGGGATCGAACACCCAACCTCCAGGCTAGCGAGCCAGCGTCTTACACACTTAGCCACCGTGCCTCCTAAAATGTTAAAACAGATTTGATGGTCTAAAACACTATACAAAATAGCATTTTGTAAAAATATTGTAAAAACTTACCGCTCCCAGAGTGCATTGACCAATATAGGTAACTTTATAACTGGCACTTAAATATAAAAAACAAAACAGATATCGACATATAATTTGGTACATCTTTCAACTAGCCTATCTCTTTAAAAGAAAAAGAAATGAAATGAAATTGGGTTTAAAGTCCTACTCCGACTGGGCTAATGAAGATGGTCAAATATGCAATACAGTGTGCTATGAGGGAAATTTTGCCTGGACAGTGGCGTTATGGCCTACTCTTATATCGAATTCCAACTGCCAAGGGATCTTTTATGTGCACATCAATGAGTACACAGGATCTTCATTTTTTGTCCCATCCGAACATCTAGACAGCTGTCCTTGTAAGGTTTCTGTTTAAATCAAAACCCAAATTTGTTGACAGTGGAACAAATTGAATAGATATGAATTTTCAGGAAACAGGAACCCACCATGCTGTTTGCTATGGGGGAAATTTTGTTCTGACAGATGCACTCTGGCAAACTCTTATTTCATTTGGGGATCACGTGGCTAAGTGGGTTAGACGCTAGCTCGCTAGCCTGGAGGTCGGGTGTTCGATCCCTACATTGGCCGAGAAAGTTCATCCAGATTTTCTGGCGTGGTTCTCCCTTGTCAGTGACACAGGACGGAGGGGCTGAGGTCCCGTGTACACATTGGCGTGCACGTAAAAGATCCCTTTGCAGTTGGAATTCGATATAAGAGTAGGCCGTAGTGCCGCTGTCCGGGCAAAATTTCCCTCATAGCACACTGTATGGCGTATGCCCGTCTTCATTAGCCCAGGTTAGGAGCAGAACAGTAGGACGTTAAACCCCATTTCATTTCATTTCATTTCTTATTTCATTTTCTAACTGACAATGGATCCTTAAACATACAATATTCAAGAGCTAAATTTGCCTATTGCAGGTCTTTCAATAACCCGTTAAACGTGACGTTTTTAAAACGTTAACTACCCCCTATTGTGTAATTAATTTGACGAAGTGATGAAGAACTATGTACTATGTTCTAAGAATAGGTTGGGGAAAATACCTCCAAGGCGTTATATTATGCCCTACACACAGTGAGTGGCAGTTGTCCAGGACGTAATATAACGTCCTACACATGCTGCGAGTTTGGGGAAATTCCCAAGGGATACGTTATATAACGACCTACGGTATGCACTTAACGGGTTAAAAATCAAAAATGATAAAAATATTGAATGGGGTATAGAAAATTTCATAAATATTTTACTTCTGACTCAAAAATAATCATTTTGGGCAATTCTTATAAATATAACTGCTTTTTTTACCTGCCATCGGGACCATGTACTGGTGTAGTTTCTGTTTCTTCATCTTCTAATATAGCATGTGGTGCTTTATCATCAATATTTAACTCATCTATTTCTTCACATCTAGTTTCATTATTATTCAATGGATCTATACCCAACTCTCGTAATATATGCTTTAAAGGACGGAACACATTACCATTATATTCACAGGCCTGTAACAAAAATATAACAAATATATGCTTTAAGAAATGAAATGAAATGAGATGGGTTTAACATCCTACTGTTCTGCTCCGATTGGGCTAATCAAGACGGGCATACGCTATACAGTGTGCTATGAGGGAAATTTTGCCGGGCAGCGGCACTATCGCCTACTCTTATATCGAATTCAAACTGCCAGGGGATCTTCTACGTGCATTCCAATGTATACACGGGAGCTCGGTTTGTCGTCTCATCCGAAGGAATAAACAGCTGTCCTTGTCAGGAACTCCGTTCTGCACCACTGACAAGGGGAAACCTCGTCGGAAAATCCTGATGAACTTTTTCGGCCAATGCAGGGATCAAACACCTGACTTCCAGGCTAGCGAGCCAGCGTCTTAACCACCTAGCCACCGTGGCCCCATATGCTTTAAGGGACAGAACATATATTAACAGGTCTGTAAGAAAATATCACTTTGATGGGCTAGAGCAAGACAAATTTTGCCAATCCCCTCACACTCTCACACCTGTGCAAGGGCTATGCAAAAAAAAATAAGGGTTTTATAAATTTACCCCTGTATAGCCATAGTAGGGCATTGGATCAGGGGGGTCTGCGGCACAAATACCAATCATGCCAACGGAAAATTTTTTAAATTAAATACATATTTATGGCCCCCCGAAGGCTTCATGGACCCGGGAGCGTAATACCAGCTTCACTCTCCTCTCCTTGGGCCTAGCAAATATCAATCAATAAAATCCAGGATATGTTATTACAATTAATATTTGACTAAATCCAAATTTTCTAGACAATATCACAATATCAATTGATTGAAAAAGATTATCATGTATCTGTATAGGAAGCACTGGCTTGTTTTGACCTGTTTATATTATCTGCAGAGAGAGAAATGGGGTTTAATGTCCACTTGACAAACTAGGTCATTTTGGGACTAACACACAGTACAATCTTATTTCGATAATTTTTTTGTGTGTAAGGGTCCTTTAGCAGTGACAGGAAACCACAGGACCAGGAGAAAACACACTTTGTCAGGTAAAAGCCTGGGATCGAAACCACGCCAGTTGACTTAATGACAGACCTTATGGTCTAAAATGAAAAGTGTTAGACCATTCGAGAATGCTGAATGTTGCTTCATCACTTATTTGTAAACACTGGATGGAGTTGAACCATTCTTTGACTGATAAACCATTTTTTGTCAGATATTCCTTTTAGAGATATTGTAATATTGTAGAGAGGGTTTAAAGTTGCAATTGCAAATTTTCAAGTTATATTTTTAAAATAAAGCCTTAAAATAGATGTTATCCATAAACAGTCCTACCTTGTTAAAGAATAATCCTATTAATCCTATAATTCGCTATTGCCGGCTAAGAAATTGGCAAAAATATCATTTTGAACTTCAAATTCCAACGTTGGAAAATGGCTGCCCCATGTTGTCAATAGCAAAACAGGGGAGGTAATTGTGTTGTTATTTCCTGTGTCATAGATGTTTAAGGGTGGGAAATAATGCCCATGATCGTATAATAGTGATTTGATAACCTTTTGAGCAAAAGACATAGAAATAATTATGTTTTGACTTTCTTAGAAAATTTGAAATTCTCGCTTTAAAGACACTAAAATTAAAGAATTTATGTTGCATATTATTCTAATACAGTGGTTGAAAATATACCTTTATAAAAGCGGCATAAACTGGAATTCCTTTATAGGTCTGGAACACTTCTTGTACCTTTAAAATATTTCACAAAAAATTAAAATGAATGATGTCAAACAAAATTTACTTAAACTTTTTCATTGCGAAAAATATCAAACTCTCACGGATTAATCCATGCTAAATATGTACTCAGATTGATTATTTAACTAGGAAAACAAAATACCATCGCTAGATAATCACCTGGCTTGGATTAAATTGGATTTAAACTAGACCCATCAGACATAGATAGACAAAGATAGGGTGAAATATTGCTTACCTTTCCCTTTTTGACACCTTTTAAACTTTCACCAAACATTTCATCTAAAACATCACCTGGTTTTACCTTACCCTGTAATAAACAACAAACCAATAATACACAACACAGATTTACCTGGGGCTCTGCATCTACAAAATATTTTAGCTTAATGTTTTGGTGAATAACTTACCCAGAAGATTTTGTTTCAATCACTCACTCTCCATAATTCACCCAGACTAATTTCATACAATAACTAATCCAGACTAAAATGTAATATCTCTCAATGACTCACCTGGATGAATTTCTCTCAATGACTCACCCAGACTAATACTCTCAATGACTCACTAAGACTTATTTCTCTCAATGACTCACCCAGACTAATTTCTATTAATGACTCACCCAGACTAATTTCTATCAATGACTCACCCGGACTAATTTCTTTTAATGACCCACCCAGACTAATTTTGAAACAAAATAGTACCAAAATGCAAATAAATTATTTTGAACTTACATCTTCTGCAGCTACACTACCCTTATCCACTGACAATACAATCATATGACCATCTATTTCTCTTCAATTATAAACATCATAAATTACTTCATTTAATCATATTAATATATACTACATTTAAAAAGTATAATTATACATTTTACACTAAATATATACTACATTTAAAAAATATAATTATACATTTTAGACTAAATATTCAAATGAATTTAAACTGGCAAAAGAAAACTGTTTCAATGATAACAATGATATCATCAACTTTAACCTCCATTAAAGATAAACTAGAAATCTATTGCTGGAGACAGGCATACATCATGCAGTGAGCTGTGAGGACAATTTTGCCCTTTGTACGTTGCCAAGCCCCTGTCTTGCACCACTGACAAGGGGGAACCACGCAGGGATTGAACATGCGACCTCCAGGTTAGGGAGCCAACATCCCACCATGCTGAGCCACCATGGCTCCTATTGCCTACTGTGCTTTTCGAATGTTCAGCAGAGGTTTGTGGTACCAGCTTTACTGGTACTTTTAAATATAAGTTACATTAACAAATAAACCTTTGGTTACCAGATCTAATCCCTCTTAAAAACAATGTACAATAATGCAATTATACATTTTAAGATTGTCCAAATGTTCTGTCTATCGGCGGTATTACATATTACAAAATGTACTTACTGAAAATGTATTCCTAAGGATTCGCAGGGCACAAATTCATATTGTTTGTAAACCTGTAAAATAACATATGACAGTATGTGTAGAATTCAGAATATAACACAGGAATCATCGAGATAAAGAGGGAAAAAATATTTATTTTTACAATCAGATCATACAGTCATTCTGGTAAAACCCATCTTCCAATACCAGAAGGACTAATCCTGTAACCATGTCAACATTTGGGATTAAATTTTGTAAGGTTAAAGTACTGATTGACTAACAAGCAAGTGAATATATCGTATTATGTTTACAAAACTTTGCCTGAGGTTATAAACATGTGTGGGCATTGGGACAAGGAACTGAGCCTGACGTCATCCCGATTCACAATTGTCCAAGGAACAAGTGTGTTTTATATCGAGTTTTATATCGATCAAACATGAATTTGGAGAGGCTTGGGCTTTTATCAATATAATGTAGAAACTCCTAATTCTTGGCATCCGAAGACTGGACAACTTAGACATCATACTAAACTTGGGCTGTCTGTCTACAGTTAGCTCTGCTTGAGAACAGACACTAAGCTAGTTGACTAACATTTTAAGTCCTAAATCAACAATTTTTGTCGAAAACACTAAGTATACTTTTAGAATTTTGAGAAGTATATCTTCCATTTAATGTAATTGAACAAGTTCATTTAGTCTTTGTGTGTATGACCCATGTGAAACGGAGTAGAAACGCATTACAAAACAGTATACTCATTTTTGGATATGGCAGCCATTTAGGGAAGAGATCTATTCTTGAGGAATGTAGCAGATGGATGTCTGTGTGCAGAAAGCCTAGACTTATCTTACTTTATAGTCAATAAGGTCAATATTATCTAAACGTCAAATGATACTCAACTTATCTCCAGACAAACATATGATACATGTAAATAAATATATCTGATGTAATAGAATCAAGATGACCTACCGGAATATCCCATGTTGTATCTAGATAACTGGCATTCTGTAAATAAACATATACAAGAAGTTTTATAATATTGTATAGGTCTTATCTAACTTCTTAAAAAGGCTTTCTTTAAGTGGCATTTAAAGATGGGTTCCCAGAAAAGTATTTATCGGGTGGTTATTTCCAATAAAAATATGGCAATTTTGGTATATATGGAAAGGATATCCAATCTTACTGGAAAAATACGGGATTCCCCGAAAAACACTCATGGGGCGTATACAGGACAAAAATGTAAGGGTTCCCGTAATCAACAGCCCGACGATTAGGAATTTCTGCACGCGTGATGTCAAAGGTTACACACTGTACAGATGATAAACTTTATGAAAAGTTAGACATACAACACTTTCTGAGATAAAAATGACGGAAAATAACGCCAGTAGTGGATAATCCAAGAATTTAATTAGGATTTGATATTTGTAATAAGTAGTAAGCGATTAAAGACAACATCTTTTTATGTATACAAAGAATTCTCCTCTGACTTCCAAGATGTGACGTAAACATGACATGGTTTGATCGAATTTTAATAGCAGGGCATTCCTTCGCAATTACAATGTTTGAGAAGGGCTTGAAGCATAATTATGACAAATTAATTAGTTTGGATATATTTTTAGTCCATATATATACCATTAAATCACCCAGTTTGTACGCGGGAACCCATCTTTAATAATTGAAAAGTAACACATTAAAAACTATTGATGGAATAACAATTACTGGTTTATTAACATCCATCGTTTCGATGATGATACTCTCGTCTTTATCAGGCAATACATGTAGTGTTTAGTTTGTTTTTAAAAGCCATTTAGTTAATAAACATAATTAACACTAGGTAATATTTTACAGAATTACTGTTTATTACTGTGCAAGGTTTTGAAAAGGATACCCTTGTCTTTATCATGCAAACAGAGTACCTTTGTCAAAACCTTGCATAGTAATAAATCTTGTAATTGTATACCGTTATCCATAAAATTTTATATTGTGTTAAGGTACTATCTACTTTAAATTACTTACATTAAATCACTACTTTCATGGGGAAGAAAATGAATCCAATTTAAATAAGAGAGAGAACTGGCGTTTAACCTCCACTCAACATAAACTAGGTCTTTTCGGGACTAACACATGCTTCAATTTTATTTCAATAATTCGCTTGTGTGTAGGGTTCTTTAGCAGGGGGAGGAAACTGGAGGACCTGGAGAAAACCCATGAGGTTGGACAGGTGACGCTAATCATTGTCACGTACAATCAGGGAATCGAAACCACGACAGTTGACTCAATAACATACCTTATGATACAACGCGCATGTGCTAACCTAACCCCCAAATTGAATTTAAAAAAAAAAAACTTTGTGAAATCTGTTCATTGACACTGATGATATTAGATGTGTTAATGTACAATCTGATTAAAATACTGATGCAAATTTTGATTTGTTTGTTTTTTGGGTTTTTTTTTTTAATTTCAATGGCCTCCACTCCATATAGATGGGACTGATTTGTCAATATATACCTGAAGTTTGACTGAAATTTGATATATCTATATCAATAAATATGTCAATGTTCATGTAAGAACTTTATTTACCTTCAAATTCAGATCAAATGTGATGGTTTTCAGTTGAACCAGAAGCGACACTAGTATTTCTTGAACAAAAAAAAAAGTGATTTAATTAACAATAGGATACATTTTTTTAAAGGGTTTAACATCCAAGTCATCTAAGGGTGATATTGCAGGTCTTGTATTCGTATATTCATTGCATGCACAGCGATTCTTTCCAGCGGGAAGAAACCTGAATATCCAGAGTAAACCCACAAGGTTGAGAAGGCTGCATACATGTATATGCTCACACCAGGGATTAAAACCACACAAGGGCAGCTACAGCTTGAAGCATGACACTCTAGACCACTAGGCTATCCGAACACCAAAATAAGGTAGTTTTGCTTGGACCATATAGAATTTTTTCATATTTAGAAATTTATTTGGTAAATTAGTTGTTTATCAATAAAAATGTGATATGTTCCATGAAATAATATTGCTACATATAATCAATCAAAATACAAGATAACTAATGATAAAACATGATAAAATACAAGATAACTAATGATAAAACATGATAAAATGATCTTATTATTCATCATTTCATTAAAGAAGCAAAAAAAAAAACAGGTTGCTGTGATATATGATATATATCCTACCTGATAAAATTTCATTTCCAATGATTGATGATTCATCATACCAAGTCTGATAAAAAAAAAAATATAACAATATTGATAACAAGTAATTAAATCAAATAAAAATTGGGAGAGAGAGAAATGGGATTTAACATCCCCTTGATACAAAGTGAGTCATTTCAGGCCTAACAGATAGTTCTATTTTATTTGGATAATTTGATTGCACGTAGGGCTCTAGGAGGAACCTAGAGACAAATCATGAGGTTGGACATACAACCCTACTCCTTGTCACTTACAAGCTGAGAATCAAAACAACAACACTTGACTCAATGACAGACCTTATGATCTAAAGCACACACCTTAGGCCATTTGGCCGACCAATGCCCCATCAAAAAGATAGGTTGCCAGGCAACGAAACATACACCCACAGCAGCTAAATCGTCCGGGCAGTCAACAAGTGTTGTCGCATATTTTTACTTCTTTCGGTAATGAAACATTTATAATACACTAAAATCTGATTAAGAGTAACAACTCATGAAGTAATTATCAGAAAACCATTAGAATTTGTTTGGTTTTTTATAAAGTTCTGCCCCATGCTAACGTTTAGTATACAAAACTTTTAATATCATGGATTTAGCTGTTCAAGTCATAAAAAATCATTGAAAATCAATATACTTGTTCGTCTCAAGCTCTTAAACTCTGTGTATCAATCTGAAGTCAAATCTGGTAGTAATTATCGGAAATCGCTGAAAATCAATGGGCTTCTTCGTCTCATGACCTTAAACACTGTGTATAAATTTAAAGTCAATTAACTTTGGCCTTTAGAGCATCCACAAGATTTTTTGAAGTGATCAAGGGACATAACTCTTGCAGTAATTATCGAAAATCGCTGAAAATGAATAGACTTCTTTGTCTCAAGACGTTAAACACTGTGTATAAATTTAAAGTCAATCGGATATTAACTTTAGCCGCTAGAGCGTCCACAAGATTTTTCAAAGTGATCAAGGGCCATAACTCTGGCAGTAATTATCTGAAATCACTGAAAATCAATAGGCTTCATCGTCTTAAACACTGTGTATAAATTTAAAGTCAATTTGATATTAACTTTGACCTGTAGAACGTCTACAAGATTTTTTTAAGTGATCAAGGGCCATAACTCTGGCAGTAATTATCGGAAATCGCTGAAAATCAATAGGCTTCTTTGTCTCATGACCTTAAACACTGTGTATAAATTTCAAGTCAATCGGATATTAACTTTGGCCTGTAGAGCATCCACAAGATTTTTTGAAGTTATCAAGGGCCATAACTCTGGCAGTAATTATCGGAAATCGCTGAAAATCAATAGGCTTCTTCGTCTCATGACCTTAAACACTGTGTATAAATTTAAAGTCAATCGGATATTAACTTTGGCCTTTAGAGCGTCCACAAGATTTTTTGAAGTGATCAAGGGCCATAACTCTGGCAGTAATTATCGGAAATCGCTGAAAATCAATAGGCTTCTTCGTCTCATGACCTTAAACACTGTGTATAAATTTAAAGTCAATCGGATATTAACTTTGGCCCTTAGAGCGTCCACAAGATTTTTTGAAGTGATCAAGGGCCATAACTCTGGCAGTAATTATCGGAAATCGCTGAAAATCAATAGGCTTTTCGTCTCATGACCTTAAACACTGTGTATAAATTTAAAGTCAATCGGATATTAACTTTAGCCTCTAGAGCGTCCACAAGATTTTTTGAAGTGATCAAGGGCCATAACTCTGGCAGTAATTATCGGAAATCGCTGAAAATCAATAGGCTTCTTCGTCTGATGGCCTTAAACACTGTATATAAATTTAAAGTAAATCGGATATTAACTTTATCCTCTAGAGCATCCACAAGCAATTGTGGACGCCGGCTGGACGGACGGACGGGGGCGACGACAATATACGACCACATTTCAATGTGGGCGTATAAAAATTAAATACATGAAAAGAAATATGGTTTAACAGTTCAGCACCCATTGAGATAATACCACACAGTGTACTATGAAATTTAGCCCAGACAGCTGGTGCTACATGTACGTCCTAGTGTATCTAGATTATTTCAAACTGCCAAGGGATCTTTGATCTGCTGTCAATAAACTAAACGCGACAATCCAAACAACTAGGCGCTTTTCCTTCCAGCCAGAACCATGATCACCGAGTCTCCAAAAAAGTAATAAAATAACATTCAATTTTTAACACCGTATTTGATCAAATATTCAATTTCTAGAAGGTGGGCGTCTAACGCATAATGTTAAGGGGTGAGGTTAGCCAAAAATTTGTTCTTAAATTCTAAAGCTATTGAATTGAAAATGGCACAAGTAGTTAGGAAATGTAATAAACAAGGGAAAATTAATATTAAAATTTTTTTTAAAAAAATTGTTGCTAGGGTAACACATATTTTGGGAAAAAGTATGAAAAACGTTGCTACACCATATCTCTGGCACAATTAAAGATAAATGTCTCATTTTCGGACTGCTTATTCTTTAATGATAACCCTAATATTTTCTCTATAATTTTCATAGTTTCTTGGAAACTAGTGTTTAAAACATTTGCCTCACCACAATATTTTGTCTTTTGAGAAATATTTTGATAACTTTTGAAATATTAAAGATAACTCAAATTGCTTTCTGTCTGATTCTGGGGTAGATATTTGTTTATATATCCTGCAAATTAGGTGAAGATATTTTAATTAGTTACAGAGATATAGTGTACCTACATTTTTCATAATTGTTCCCCAAAAAATGGGTTACCTTGGCAACAACTTTTTAAAAAGTTACCTTTCCCTTCTTTATTAAATTCCCTAACTACTTGTACCATTTTCAATTCAATAGCTTTACAATTTCAGAACAAAAATTTCTGAGTAGCCCCCGCCCTTAAGCAAATCTAGGTCTTTTCCTGTACCGATATAAATATATGTATTTATAATAAAGAAGTAATATCTATCAGTTGTATTTATTATAAACATGTGTTACCAATTTCATATAATAAAACTTGTATTTTTAATTAGTGCAGAACAGCATGATGTTAAACTCATTTCACGTATATCTTTAATAATGTTACACATCTTTGTTAAAATCATATCAATGTGTCCAAAATTTACCTTGAAACAGTTTAAAACAGAGAAAGAGAAATGTGTCGGGACTAACATATGGTTCAGTTTTATGTTAATAATACCTTGCACATAGGGGTCCTCAGCAGAGGGAGGAATCCAGAGAAAAACCCACATGGTTAGACAGCTGACCTTACTCCTTGTCACGTACAAGTGGGGAATATAAACCACGCCACAGGACTCTATGGCAGAACTAGGGTTCAAAGCCATCCAACCCCCCATTTTAAAATTAATATGACAGTAAAATAAATACCTCACATAATAGACGATCATCTTTTAATAATTTAACAACAACATCCAGATTCTTCTTGACTAAAGCTGCTCTTATTAACAATCTACCTTTACCTTCAACTGTTAATGTCTAAAAATAGATGAATGCCGCTTGTAAAGTGGTATTGCTTAGCCATCACCCAGGATTTCTGTTTCAAAATTTTGACCCATGAGACATCTTTAGTTTGGGTCAACAGAGGCCAGAACCAGGTACTGTTGGCTTCAGAAAATTAGGTCAATAAGCCTTCACTCCCTTTTACAGTGTGCAAAAAGGGAAATTTTGCCTGGACAGCAGCCCTATGGCCTACCCTTATAACAAATTCCAAATGCCAAGGGATCTTTTACAAGCACGCCAATTTATACACGGGTCCTCGTTTTTTGTTCCATCCAAACGACTAGACAGCTGTTCTTATCAGGTCCTTCGTCCTGCACCACTGACAAGGGAAGGGGAAACCACTTCGGAAAATTCTATTGAACTTTCTCGGCCATTGCAGGGGTCGAACAAGCGACCTCCAGACTAGCAAGCCAGCATTTTACCAACTTAGCCACTGTGGTGCCTCCCTTTTCGTATATGTAGTATATCATATTCTAAATATTATTTGCTAAGGGCTAAGGCCTCACCAGAAGGCTATTACCAAGACCATTTTCATGACAGATGAGAGCAGTCTCAAATCAAAATAATATAATTACAAATATCTGTATTAAAATATTCTGTCAAGAAAATATGAATGGTTTCCAGCTAAAAGCAACAAAATCTGAGAGAGAAAGGAAGGTAGGGGCAGACAACGCAACAAAATCTAAAATTATTATCATTCTCACCTTCTGACAGTCTTTGACAAAATAAATCGTTTGGTCAAAAGTAGGGTTTTTACTGGAATACAAATCAATCATGTAGAAAAAGAAAGAAGTTTTACATTACAACATTAAATATATAATACCCAAGTCTGGAGATAAGGCACAAGGCACCGGTCACTGACTTTGTCAATTACAAATCATTACACAACATATATGTTAAAGCGATAATTTCATATTTTTAAAATGTATTAAAATAAAGCCTTAAAATAGATGGTATCTATAAACAGTCCTACGTTAAAGAATAATCCTATTTATCCTATAATACTGCCAGTTGAGAAATTGGCAAAAATATAATTTTCAACTTCAAATTCAAACGTTTGAAGATAGCTATTCCATGGGGGGGGGGGGGGGAATAGAAAAACAAGGGAGGTAATTGTGTTATTATTTCGGGGTGAATGATTTTTAAGTGTGAGAATGATACCTATGTAATCGTATAATAGTGAGTTGACAACCTATTAAGCAAAAGACATAGAAATAATTATGTTTTGACTTTCTTAGAAAATATGAAATTCTCATTTTAAAATATAAACGTGTTATAATTTATGTCGGACAAAGTCTGTGACAGATGCTTTCTGTCCAGTCTTAATAATACCGGTAAAAGTCCATGCACTTTTATTGTCTGCTAGTGCTAAAGTCTCTGTGCATCAAATGCATTTTTGGGAAATAATCAAATTTTCCAAAATCGATTATTTAACTTTAAAGGAGCTAAATCGCTAACATTTGGGACCTAGAAATTGACACAAGTGGGTCGCAACGCATATAATACTGTAATATAAATGTATATAAACTGATATACATTCAATGGTTTCCGTTTTTACTCTAATTTCAAATCATTTATGTTCCGCGAAATAAGCCCGCAGTCTCAATCGAATGCAAATTTCTAGCGGCTGGTTATTCCAGTCTACATACGCCGTTTGGTTTGGTGTAATATGTCTAGCTTCGTTCCTCGAGTCTCTTGCTAGAACTGGGGCTGAAACGCATTATGGTACACGATTCGTGCACCAATGGCAAAATGTTTATTTTGTCTTAAATATTGGATATCAGAAGCCCATCTTTTTTCGGTAAGATCACAGCATCAATGTTGATTTAAATTGACAAATAATTTGTGTTTTCAATGTTGAAGATTTTGGATGATATTGAGTTAGCGACTTAGCTACTTTAAATAAAGAAAACAATATTTAAATTCCTCAGAGACTTTCATTGTGGCTCAGGTTGACAATGACTTGATATGATATAAAAACCTAAAAAATCTTTTAAAAAATTACAATATTTTTCATATGAAATACTTTACTTGTCACAAAAATTGAATTGACTATAATATTTTAATATAAAATTAGACTAGCATCCATGAATACTGATAGAAATAGACGGGCATAAGTGTGACATGAGGGAAATTTCGCCCGGACAGCAGCGCTACGGCCTTCTCTTGAAATCGAATTCCAAATACTAAGGGATCTTTCACATGCACTAAAATGTATACACAGGACTAAATTCAGATAAAAATTAGTACTCGGCCAAAATTTGTGTTTGTATTAACAGGTAAATTAACTTACAGTCTAGGTAGTTTACTAATCCATGACCAATATCCTGGTTTAACAAACCAATTATTACCAGCTGGAAATAGAAATAAATTAATATAAAAACAATTACAATTCACAAATACATTATATTAAATTCTATACTAATAATACATAGACACTTCAAACAACAAACGTATGTATACATCTGATCAAGTGAAAAATTACAATTCATATTATTTAGCACTGGATCACCACAAGTCACCAATTTTCGTCATATTGAATAATTTAACAAACTTTATAGATATCTTGGGCATCTCAGTTCGACTACTGATTGACAGTTTTACATCTTGCCATGATACCTGACCCAATAAAGACATATTCCCATGTGTTTTTTGTTTTGCACAAATTAAACTGTTAATTGAAAGGTTCTAGGGAGAATCTATTGCTGCCAATATCCTAAAGTTAAATTCATGCAGAATGCAAATGGTTCCACACCTCTATATATTTCTGTATGACAAATAACCCAGAATACAGACCCTGAGTTCACAAAGCATTTTCAGACATAAGTTAAGTCTTATTTTAATTAAAATATAGCCCTTTATAAAACTTTTGTTGTTTTAATGTATCAAATACATCGATAAGAAACTATGTGCTTCTGGATCAAAGATATTTCTCATAAACAGTGATTGAAAGTTGAGTAAATTCTTAACTTAAGTCTGAGAATGCTTTGTGAACTTGGGGCCTGATGGGTGCTGAATTTACTCTAAATTAAGACATTTTTTAATTTAAGATTGTAAAATAACCAGTAAACTACGAAAAAGTAACAATTCATTATTTATCTTCCGAAATAATTACAAATGTTAAATATATTAAAAATAGAAATTTGAGACTCTTACTCTTTAACCCTAGGGTAAAAATATCTTCTAATCTCCTACAAAATGGTGCTAGGTTTAAATTATAGTCCAATATATCTCTTTCTTCAGTATATAATTCAAGTATATTCACTGTAAAAAAAAATATATATATTATAAAGAACTCTCCAGACATTGTAGACATTTAGATCCAGACTCAAAACTTCTGTGTTTAAGAAAGCATTCACTTGTGGTGATCCTTTCTGGACTGCGCTTTGAGCATGCTCATGCAAGGATATTGTGCAATATAAATAGACTATTATTATTATTTACATACTTGTATTTAGATTCTTTACTAAATAATAGCATATATTATTATTAGGGTTAAAAACAGCCCTGGAAATCACCTTAGTCAGCACAAATTCTTTCTGTATTTAAATTGGAATCGATAACAATAACAAATTCATTACCTTTCAGAATTTTCAAAAGTGGATGTGTGACAGACATGTTTAATCCCGGGACATGCCTTCTTTTGTTTTTTTAAATCTGATTATCTTATTTGTTGTGTATTTCTTTACTGCTTAAATATTCCTGGAAAAATAAATTAAAATGAGAAATATAAAATATAGAATAAATAGTGCACATGGCAGTAATCAAGCTTCAGTATATGAAGTCCCATATAGTTTTATTAATAATGGTTGACGAATACTATACCATGACAGAGAGAGAGAGAGAGGGAGAGAAAGAGAGGAAGGGGGAAATGGGGTTTAACGATCAACTCAACACAAACCAGATCATTTCGGGACTAACACATGGTTCAATTTTATTTCAATAATCTGCTCGTCGGTAGGGGTCTATAACAGTGGGAGGAAACCGAAGGACCTGGAGAAAACCCAAGAGGTCACATACAAGCAGGGAATCGAAATCATGCCTTTTGACTCAATGACAGAAATTACAATGCTATGCGCACGCGTTAACCATTTGGCCACCCAATCCCCCTGGTACAACTAAAATCACTATGACCCTGTCTGTAGTATATTCATGTAAGGTGAGCCGTGAGTACGACAATGGCTTGCTAGGTCTCAGGTTCAAACCCTGTGTTGACCGAGAAGTTTCTCTTGTCAGTGGTGCAGTACGGAGGGCTTTGCAAGGACCAGTTTCTAGTTGTTTGAATGGGAAATGTGTATAAAAGAACCCTTGACAGTTGGAATTTGAAATAAGAGTAGGCCTTAACGACGTTTATTAGACGATGTTATTAGCCCAGTTGGTTCTAAAAGGTAGGAAGTTGAATCTCATTTCATTTCATTTGTATCATATCAGAACATGGAGCTAAGTACAGGCTAAAAAGCAAATCATGCTTCTTGTTCCCTAGTCTGCAGAGTATGTCCGGTACATGCACAAGTAATTTTTTTCAGAGATTGGTGCACACAAATTTTCTTTAGATTTGCACACCAGTTGTAGGACAACATCTGTATCATGCATGCAAGCTACTTTAAACTGTAATAATTGTCATGTCTTCCGTAATCCATTGTTGACCAGCAATAAACAGGGGTTCTAAACAAACATACCTTTTTCAAGGGAGGCAACTACCATGGTAAGTACCGTAGGGCATAGAGACTCGGTGTGCGACTCAAATTGATCCAATCGAGCTGTCATGTATGGCTAATGTACCTGTGCAGTGGTTGCTACAATTTCAAATTTCAGCGGTACCATTTTATATTTTTGAAATTACAAGCCAGGCAATTAACAATAGCCTTTTTTTTATCATGCCATGGATTTATTTCCTTGTCGCTTGAAGCAGGCCATTTTTTGCACCCCAGAATTTAGTAAGCATTTTCATTGTACCACAAAACATATTCTGCAGACTGCCTAGTTCCAAAGTTATAATTCACCTTTTCTCCCTCGAGTCTTTGAAAACGATCATTTGGTGACTTTTACCAGAATGACGGTTACCTGGGTCAACAGACTAGAGGTTTTGATTTCAAAACATGTGGCTAATTCATGTATAGGATCATATTATTTCAAGTTTACTATAGAAAAAAAAAAGCCAATTTGTAAAGGCATGCCATTTTTAAACCAGCTGGTGGAACCGATCGATCATGTTGATTGGGAGAGAGAGACAAATCAGATCAATCAATCAGTTCACTAATTTCTGTTTGTGTTGTAAAAAACGCCCTGAATGAATATTCTGCAAAATCTAGATTTCATCCTGGCTGCTTTCCTTTCGCATATAATAAAAATTATCATATGGTAGAGTGTCAAACTTACCATTTATTTTAACAGTACAAAACATGTAAGTAATAAATTAACTTTTCTTTTTGCAGCTGGTCTACTGGATTGAGTTGGTACAAGGGAGATAACCGTATTTTACTCAACTTGAATATCCAGACGTAAATTTTTATTTACAATTACAAGAGGTCCATGGGTCTTATACAATTTGTACTATGGATTTCAACAGTCATTAACTCTTTACAGCATAAATAAAAAAAAAAATGACCTCCTCATAATCTTCATTTACAATTACGAGAGGCACAGGGGTCTTAGATACAATTTGTACATGTATCAATTTTATTAAAACAACACTTTTTATTTATATGCTAGTTGTTACCAGAAAAAATATATTTTTATTAGTCCAATTCAAATTTAAAAATAAACAATATTTTATCTGAAAATCAAAGTCGATATTTAGTGTATCATATTATTATTATATGATACAATGGGTCTGAGCAATACTTTATTGATATATAAAATTTAATGCAGTGTTCTTATTATGTGTTAAAGGGACAATAACACTCTTGCTGGCTTGACAGCCCCAGAAAATAAAAAAATAGCCTTATTCTAAGTAGATGTGTTAGTGTCCTACCTGTTGTGTAAATTATCCATTAAATCCTATTTTACTTGTCCAGAGGGTTCAAAAATATTTTTAAATCCAAGTCACATTTGAAAAGCTATACGTCAGGCTTTTCAAATTATTTAGTTGAATTTTTCCAATTTTTTAAATTAGGTGTGTTAAGATGAAATTTGTATCATCAATTAATTGGAATATTGTAAAATAGTACAATTTGTTGACCAGAATAAAGATTGGGACATATTATTCAGTTACAACAAGAGTGGTATTGAGCCTTTAAAGAGTGCCAGAAACCAAGGTAACCTCGTCCATGGCATGGAACATTATCGTGTGGTGCAGAATCGAAAGTCTGGCAAAAATCAGTGTCTAGTCGCTTAAATGGGACGTAAAACCGAGGTCCCCGTTGTCACCCACCTTCGTGGTTCTGGACCGAAGGCCTGACAGTTAACATATATTATGCAGTCGTTTGGGTGGGACGAAAAACTGAAATCCCGCGGACATATTGACGTGCACGTAAAATAACCCTTTGCATTTGGAATTCGAAAAAGAGTAATCCCATTAGCTTCATTTCTGTTTTATGCACCCACCCCATCCTTGAACCACGCTAAAGCCCAAAAGCATAACATTATGTTTTCACTACCTACATTATAAAATTTGTTTGATTTTAGATGACTAAGCCCCGGTTTTTCAGAGTGAAAGATTTTCATAAAAACAATTAAATAACCAAACTCAATCGAATGGGGTTTATGATACTTCAGAGACTAACTAAGGACATAAACAAAGTTAGTTTCTGTTAACACGTCTAAATCAGAAATAGAACAATTTCTCAAGGTTTACCTATACATGGGCTTAGTTCAGATGGGCAACATTCGTTGCTATTGGCAACAAAAATTCCACCATTCTCCTATTGTAGATGTTATGTCCCGTTCTCGATTTCAAACCCTCATGACAAATTTACATTTTGTAGATAATGATAATGTCACTGATAATGTCACTGGTGTCTGCAAGAAAGCGACTTCGTGGTCGCCCAACAGGATGGTTTAGATCAATTGCCAGTATGGAAGTCATCATTTCTCAGATGTGTTTTATGCAAGGGTTCGTTCATGTTCTCCCATATAAGATGCTCTAAATGTAAAGTTACCCTTTGTCTAAACAAAGACCGAAACTGTTTCAGACAGTTGCTTTAGACAACAACCAATGAAATAATTTTTTGGGGGTGGTTTTTTTTGTTATTGTGATTTTTCTTTTTATGTTATGCAATTATTTTAAAATGATCAAATATTGAAATGAAATGAAATACAATTTGATAAATTCACTTATAATTCAAATAAACATTGTTTTAATACGATTTCGTATATTGGTTTAGAATTTTGTTTGGTGTTGTTGTGATTAGCCCACTGTAGGCCTATCTATGATACACATTGAAAATCAAGGTCAAGGTCGTCCGATCCTAAATTTTACACTGGGATATATTTTACTGCATGTAAAGCTTCAACAATCCAAACTATCATAATTTATCAAAGCCCGGTTTATGGCGTGGGCATTACAGGGTTAACACAGAGATCATTGCTACGATAAACGCGTAATGAAGTTTTCAAGAAACGGAAGTGGCGAAATGAAAACACGAGTTATCATCTATACAACTGACTGAAGTGACTAATAATAATTCATTCGAAGACCAAAAGTTGTTATTTAAAAAAATAATTGACTAACTAGAAAAAAATAATAGAAAAGGTCCGTGCATTACCATGTTTTTATTAAGTATAGAATGACTAAAAACAAGGGAATGCACGGTCTACTTCCAGTTTCCTTGTTTTCGCTTATCTAGTGACATTCCATTACTTTTTTGAATTGTCAGATATCCTCGCACAGGGCTCCAGTGACATTTTCAGCCAGGGGCTCCGCGGTAAAGGACAGGACATTGTGGATAGCCTTGTGACTATCAGAGGAAATAAATGTATGCATATTATTAGTTGCGTCCTTGACACTCTGAATGATCAATTTTGTCAGTAAATATTCCCGTGCACCCTCTAAAACTGCGCCCCCCTCCCCGCACTTTATAAATACTTGTATATCATACCAAGTCACATCACTCACATGTTATAACATCAAACAACAAACAAAAAAACAACAAAAACTATACAAATATATATATATATTGCTATTGGTTTTATATATAAAAGTAAAATATAAAATATATAAATGAAAGTTTATAAAATACACCTAAACTATCTGACATTATTTCAGTCTAATTATTTTACCATTCTTTGTTTAATGGTTTTGATGTTTCAGAAAAATGATGATTGTCTCGCATATCTTTTAATTCCACGTTAGACAGCAAAGATACGCCTGTATTATAATCTTTATCATGTTCTTTAACTGGCAATCGGATTCGTTTCCGAAAGTCCGGAGACGAGCACTCGAAAATGTCCCACTTTTTAGGAAGTACCCCATTAAGAAACATTTTTTCTGTTAGTTTTGAAAATATAAGAATGGTCGCAAAACTTAACAGCATAGCAAAGGTTCGAAATGGGAAATTTTGTCCATGTTCTTCTGTATAGAATGGATAATGAACCAACGCTGGAAGGTTGATCAGATATTCACCTCCTAAGATCCTCAACACGAAACTGATGACGTAGCCAACAATACTACCGTACGCATTTGTGACCTCGAAGAAGAGAACGCACGTGAACTGTGGAAATAGTATGACGTACATCAGATCGGAACACAAAACGTACAACCCGTAAACACTTTTAGCACCAATAGCAACAACGGTGGCCAAAGAACCAGCTGCAAGAATAGCAATTCTCAACACCCAAACCATTTCTTTGTCTGAAGCCTGCAATAAGTTTAAGAACATTTTAAGACTGTTGTATGGAAAGGCATTTTACGTATTTAGGGCAAAACTGTGCTTATCCGGTGACATTCGTTGAGAGATGGGGTTTAACGTCCACTAGACAATTTCGGGACTAACATATGATTTAATTTTATTTCAATAATTCGCTTGCGCGTAGGGGTCTTTAGCAGTGGGAGGAAACCGGTGGACCCGGAGAAAACCCACGAGGTTGGGCAGGCGACCCTACTCCTTGTCACGTACAATCGGGGATTGGAAACCACGCCAGTTGGCTCAATGACATGCCTTATGATACAGCGCGCACATGCTAAGGTTGGGGCAGGTGATTGTTGGCAAGATTGCAGGTTAGTGTTAGGGTAAGCATTGGGGTTAGGACCAGGGTTAGGATTGGGATTGGCTCTAGCCCTGTTTACATCTCGTGACCTATTGCGAAAATTTGAGCTGGCCTTATCAATTAGCACTAACCATCATTAATCAGGATTTGCGGCTTGACTGAGAACGTTCCTCGGGATATTCCAGCATGGTGTCCCTTGTCAGTGGTACAGGGCAGTCGACCTGGTAAAGGCCATAGTCTGATCGTTTGAATGGGACTAAAAGAACCCTTGACAGATGGAATTATAAATATAGAGTAGGGAGTAGTGCCGCTGTCTGGGCAAAATTACACTCATAGCATACTGCATGTTGTAGGACGTTAAATCCCATTTCATTTTGATACATTTGTCAGCAGCTTTTCTTTAGATTCTTACCTGACTCCTAAACAACTGCTGGTAAATATTTTTAGCAAACACAGACGCTGTTGATAAAATACTGGAATCCGCAGACGACATGACTGCAGCAGAAATAGCTCCTAGACCAACAATAGAAACAGGTAGAGGACAGAGATATTGTAAAACTAACGGTAAGATATAACTCATTTTTTCTGGTGGTATTGGTATAGTTCCATTATAAGCAGTCTGATTCCAGTCTGAAAAGAGAATGTGAAAGAAGGGATATTGCCTTTGAAATCACCACTCTTCTTTAGTAGACTTCAAGAAAATGTTTATAATCATAAAATGAAATATTTGGTTTTGTTAATTTTAACTTGGCCGAGTGGCTTTTCTCTTGTCAGTGGTGGAAGACGGAGGACCTGACCAGGATACCGTCTAGTCGTTCGGATTGGACAAAAATCCGTGGCCCTGTGTACACGCTGCAGAACACGTAACAGAGACTTTGTCTGGGCAAACATTCTCCTATAGCACACTGTATTGGGTACGCCCATCTTCATTAGCCCAGTCGGTACAGAACAGTAGGGCGTTAAACCCTATTTCATTTAATTTCTAATTTTAACTATGGCATGTTGTTTCTGAATAAAACACGAATAATGTTCACAGATTTAGATACTATATAGCCTAATAAGTTTAAATTACCTGCTGCAGCCCCAGTGATTCCCATACAGGTGGCTGGAACAGCAAATAAAAAGCAAGCCACGCTAGCTACAATTGATGCCAGTCTGGCCCTTTCAGGTGTTTTACAAGCTAAAACTCTTTGAAAATATACCTGAAATATTTATAACACCAGTTTTAAAGGAGCTAAACCTCTAATTCAAAATTATCCATAATATTCGAAATTAAAAACACGAATTAGAATTCAATATTGGTCAATTCCAATCAATATTGGTGTTATTATCTTACCGTGAAAATATGGGACCCCAATATCCAATGTTTGATATACCGTGTACTCCATGATTTCAAGTACCACGTGTAATGATTAAAGAAAATCATCCCAGAAGACAATGCGAAAGTTTTTTTTTTTTCGTTTGAGCCTACTTAGTTAATAATATCTTTATTAGGGTAAGAAATTAGGCCAGGCCTTTTTACAATTCTGCCCTTTTTTAAAAAAGAAATGGAGAGAGAGAGAGAAATGGGGTTTAACGTCTACTCGACACCAACTAGGTCATTTCGGGACTAACATATGGTTTAATTTTTTATTCACATAATTCGCTTGCGCGTAGAGGTCTTTAGCAGTGGGAGGAAACCGGAGGACCCGGAGAAAACCCACGAGGTTGGACAGGCGACCCTACTCCTTGCCACGTACAACCGGGGATTCGAAACCAAAAAAAAAAAAAAAAAAAAAAAGAAATGGACTGTATGCATATTTAACCAAACATAAATTGTTAGAAATTACAATAAAATTTATAAAAATTGAATGTAAATCATTTTATATACACCCATAGACGCATTTTCGTTTATTTTAAGTTTCTGTGAAATAGAGCCCGATCATGACAATGATCACAATGGCCGAATGGTAAGCGCGTGCGCGTTCAATCATAAGGTCTGTCATTGAGTCAACTGGCGTGGTTTCGGTTCCGCGGTTGTACGTGGCAAGGAGTAGGGTCGCCTGTCCCACCACGATGATTTTCTCAGGGTCCTCCGGTTTCCTCCCACTGCTAAAGACACCTACCGACAAGCGAATAATTGAAATAAAATTGAACCATTTGTTAGTCCTGAAATGACCTAGTTTGGGTCGAGTGGACGTTAAACCACGCCTCTCTCTCTATCTCTCTCTCTCTCTCCCTCCCACTTCACAGGCTGGTGACACTATAACAAAGCCAAAGCCAAAAGGGCCTTATCGGATGCAACATTCATTGTGAACTGAATGACAGCACAGATGACGTCCTGCATATTTTCAAATCTAAATTAGAATCCCCAGGTCATCAAATAGAACTTTTGAAATTGTATTCTTGTACTGCGTGGTAATGGTATATCACTTAGAAGAAGAAGACAATTGTGGTATAACTAATTACCTGCCATGGTATACCACCTAGAAGAAGCAGACCATATACATCAATATAACTTCCTATCTGTGTTGTCTCTATTTTACCCTGCCACGTTTCACTGACTGTACTAAAATCTACAGATGGATGCGTCATTGCAAATGGCACAGCTATAAGCTAATAAAAAGAGCATTATTGAACACATAAAGATATACATTTATAACATCTGAAGACGCTCCATTAAGAGCAGCCAGCAAGCTTACAATCTGATTTCGTTAAGTTCTTTATAATTCAAAATTTTGTTTTACAGGATAAAGCACATGACTGAGGTTATGCCGGGGAAAGAATGACTGAAGAAAATAACCCGAGAAAAAGAAAAATCGATGTTTTTCTTTCAAGGGGGTTTTCTGAAGTCTTTCTTCCCTGGTATAGCCGAAGTCGAGGACTTTATCTTGCTTATAAACCGTCTGTGTTTACATGTACGCAAAATGAGAATATTCCAGATTTCCAGGTTATGGAAAAAAAACCTACGCTGGAAGAATAGCCCGTTACAGGTTTAAAGAAAAACTTCCAGAAGAATAATCCCAAATTCCCCTGTATATATTCAAAGTCGCCACGACTTTCAGACAGGAAGTTATTCCGAGCATCGAATATGCCCCAAAGATCAAAGAGATTTACCGTTATAGGTTTATAATTATCTTTACTACACTAAGTGGAGGCCATCGAAAGTATAAAAAACGAAACGAAATATAGATCTGCATTTTAATCAAATTAGCTAGATTATGATTTGATGTTTATCAGAATAAAGAAGTATTTTTATTTTTTTATGTATTTATCTACCGGAAACAAAGAAGTAATTGTACTTTATCTACTTAAACATTAGCCATAAATATATAGTTCCCTAAAAAGATCAATTGTTTGAGGAACAGAAACGTGATTGACAGATGGTCAGTAGTGTGTCCATGGGTAGACTGCCCACACCCAATCTCGTACATATGAAAAGTTCGCTCCCGTAGTTCGTTTAAAAAAAATGAAGAGAATAACTAAGGCAAAACTAACAATCAGTTTATTCGACGTTTTCAAACGATACATTTCTCGGCGATCTAAGTTACAGCTGGTCAACCATATTAACACTTTATTGCTATTCGGGGCTCACCACAGAGGTGTTTTTGGTTGGGACATTTTTCTTATGAGAGCTGAAATAGGCCTATGTGGCTTCAACCGCTCGTTGTATAACACAAGCATGAATTGGCTTATTACGGCAATGTCCCACAACATAAGCCAGGTCTGTCAATTAGGGGATAAGTAACGGATGCAATGAAACGCTTTGCGTCATTGGTTTAGAGTTACTGCACCCCCTCTCAAATAAGAAAACCCCCAGTGCTTTTAATGTGGTTGTCAACGCTACTGACATTCAATTGCTGCACTGTTCTAATATATATCTACATGTGAAAGCACTCGGTCAACTCACAGTCATTATATGAAATATGGTAATTATTGTGACTTTCTAGGTATTAGAGCATGCTCCACTAAGCCCAGAATTTCTCGCCGCCAGAGTTAGAGACACCCAACCCCATCCTTACATCACCACTACGATATAAATATTGGGTTTGCCCGTGTCGCTTTTCTGGATAGTCACTTTAAACTGGGTTAGTGCTAAATGATAAGGCCAGCTCAATTTTCGTCAGAGGTCACGAGATGTAAACAGGGCTAGCGCTAATTCCAACCCTAACCCTAACCCTGAACCTAGCCCCAATGCTTACCCTAACCTTAACCCACAATCACGTGCCCTAACCTTATTTACATGTCTGCGACATTGAGCTGGCCTTAACAAATAGATTTAGCCTTTGGGACTGGAGTAGCTTTTATTTGGGATAATTTGATTATCGGTGTAGGTAGGCTAAACTTCATTCCAAGTAGACTGTGATTGTAAATATCTTTCAAAATTAGCGAGGGTAAAGTATTACATATAATGTTGAGATTAATATAAGGGAGATAACAAATTTAGACAAACATGATTTTATCTAGGTACCCTCATTACGTTCAGATTGTAGATTTGGCTAGTATCTCCCGCTTACAATATCGAATTACTCGATACATGTTCAGGGGGGGGGGGGATATTGTTCACTTAGTTTTTGTGTGCATAAATTGTGCCCCCCACCCCACATACAAACACACCTATGCAAGGTCTATGCAAAAAGTACATAAGGATTTCTAACCTTACCCCTACATAGTCGGGAATCGGGGATCGGATCGGGGCTCTACGGTACGAATACTGGCCGTGCTTCATGCTTCATGGGCCCCGGAGCGATGTACCGATTGCGCCAGTTTTCTCAATTTCTGATAGATGTTAAGATGCAATTATGTTCGGAGAGTCACCTCACCTCGTCTTCCATCAGAAAAATCCCAGCACCGCCAGAGTACAGAATTCGCTCTTTAAACTGTCCAATCAATTTTATATTTAATATATGGCTAATTTACAGATGAGTATCCCGGGATGACATTTGGAATTTTACATTAATTTATGCGATTGTCGTTTAATTCGACTATTTGTCAATTAACATATTAAGAAATTCTACATCATTAAGTTCAATTTTCTTTCTCATATTGTATACAGTTGTCTGGGTGCTTCACGTGTTCGTGGGAAGTTAGTGCTAAATGATAAGACCAGCTCAATTTTTCGTCATAGGTCACGAGATGTAAACAGGGCTATCCCTAATCCCAACCCTAACCCCAACCCTGGACCTAGCCCCAATACTTACCCTAATCCTAACCAACAATCTCGCCAACAATCACGTGCCCTAACCTTATTTACATCTCAGCAACCTTGACAAAAATTGAGTTGGCCTTAACAAATAGATTTAGCCGTGCTTTCACGATGTTATAGTGTGATATACAATTAGGTCATACAGATGCACCTGTTACAAATCAAGCTTATTTTATTTAATTTATGTTATATAACGGAAATAAAGGTTTAATGAATGGCGAAAACATTAAATGAACTACATTTCCGTACAAGGAAAAAGGTCACACGTGTCAAATAAGGTTGTTGTTTTTTATATATACACATCGAGATGTATATGTTAAGTTTCTCCTAATGCAACACGAGATCTAACTCTTTGTAGGAAGCAAGCGATTTAATTCATTGTAAGAAACACGAGATTTAACTCATTGTAGGAAACACGAAATCTTAACTAATTGTCAGAAACACAAGATTTGTAGGAAACGAGATCTAATTGATTGCAGGAAACACGATATCTACCTCATTGTAGCAAACACGACATCTAATTCATTGTAAGAAACACGAAATCTAACTCATTGTAGTAAACATGACATCTTACCCGCTGTAGGAAACACAGTATCTAACTCATGTAGGAATGGAGTATGGTTTAACTCATTGTAAAACACGCAATCTAACTCATTGTAAGAAACACGAGATCTAACTCATTGTAGGAAACAAGAGATCTAACCCAATGTAGGAAATACAAATCTAACTCATTGTAGGAAACACAACATTTAACTCATTGTAAGAAACACAACATCTAACTCATTATGGGAATGGGGTGTGGTTTAACTCATTTTAGGAACACGAGATCTAGCTCACTGTAAGAATTACGATATCTAACTCATTGTTGGAATAGAGGGCTTTAACTCATTGTAGGAAACACAAAATTTAGCTCATTGTAGAAAATACAATCTCTAACTCATTGTAGGAATGGAGTGAGGTTTAACGACCTGTCGACAAAATTATGGCGGTTACGGCGATTACGGCTGGGATGATTACTACGATTATGTCTGGGACGGTTACGGCGATTATGGCTGGAGTGGTTGCATCGATTATGATAATTGGGACGGTTACGACGTCTATGATCATAGAGACGACCAGGGGGAGTGATTCGAAATAAGATTATATGATTGCAAGAGCGGAATGCTACAAAAGAAAACCTACCAATCCTACAGCAATACAGATCAGTTGAACGACATCGGTTAAAGCAACTGACCACAAACCTCCAAGGAACGTGTAGAATACAGCCACACATGCTGATATAATAATAGCCATTGTTTCGTCAATATCTAATATTATAGATATCGTAGAACCTGGAAATAATATACTCATATGTTAACACAAACTTGGCCATATCGGGACCAACATAATATGTAATGTTCTATATTTTCGATTACTCGTAAGGATATTAGCAGTTGGAGGAAACCGGAGATGGGGTGGGGAAGCACAGGGTTAGACAGGTGACCACTTTCATTCATATACAAAACCACGCTACTTGACTCAATGATAAGGTCTTATAATATAAAACGCCCTCCCCCCCACGCAAAAAAAAAAAAGAACGTATGGTTATTGTTATGGATAACGCACGAACCAACCATCGCGACATGATAGCTCATTGAAAACTTATCTATTTGATAGATTTTGAGTACGAAGTAAGCAAGCTCTGGTTGGTATAAAATATGGCCAGGGTGCGAAGTGACCAACCCCTGTTAGGTATAAAATATGGCCGGAGTGCGAAGTGACCAAGCGCTAGTTGGTATAACATAGAATATGGCCAGGGTGCGAATTGACCAAGAGCAAGCGAGTATAAATATGTTCTGGAGATAGAATTCATTTTTCTTATACTGTCTCATAGTTTCTGTATACAATGCGAACTAGTAGCTTAGTTGTTGGATGGGACGAAAAATCTAGCTCCGTTTACACATTGGCGTGCGCGTAAAAGAAACTTTGAGTTGGAATTCGAAATAACATAGGCCGCAGCCCAGCTCTCCGCACAAAATTTCCCTCATAGCCCACTGTATGGAGTTAGTCCGTCTTCATAAGCCCAGTCGGCGTAGAAAAGTAGGACGTCCAACCCCATATCATTTCATTTCATTATCCCCTTCCACTATCTTTAAAGAAACTTCGATTTCAAGTAATGAATGGCTAGAACGAATTCGACAAAGCACGAAATAGTTCTCCAATTTAATACTGGTGGCAAGCAAATAAAAAAAAAACAAGTACGAACAATCCAAACCACTGGACAAAATTCGAAGTCCTTATGAAAACGGTATAGGTAAAATAGTGTAATCAGCAAATGGACTGTTCACCGTGTACAAAATACACGACAAACACTGGTAACAGGTGTCCGGAAGAGTAAGCGTACCCTGTCTGGCCCCACACCCGCCATACTTGCATCCAAACCATTAGACGAAAACTCGGTAAAATAGCGTAATTGGCCAATGGACTTTCCGTATGCAAAATGTACATAATGAACAGTGTTAACAGATGTAGTACGACGTATAGTGGACATAACCAGGCGTTTAGTTATCTATTTATTTCCAATCTGATTCAAATACAGATCTATATTTCGTTTCGTTTCGCTTTTTATACTTTCGATGGTCTTCATTAGCGAAGACGGGTAAAATGAAATTTTAAACTATTAAAAACGAAACGAAATAGGATCTGTCTTTTAATCAGATTGGTTTATTTCAAATTTACCTAACGCTGCTAAAATTGCTGCCGTCCAGAAGAGATCTCCCAGAAACTGTGGCACACACATCAAGGCACCAACACGGTTACCAAACTTAAGTTGAAATGGATCATACATGGTGATATAACCAGCTCTCCTCATCCTGGGCGCATAAAAAATACCACCTGAAATATTTCAATAAACAGAAAAAAATACTAATGCATCTGAGAGAAAAGTACAGCGGGAGAGAAATGCGTTCTAACGTCTTCGGGATTAATCTTATTTCAATAATTCGCTTGAGCGTAGAGGTCGTTAGCAAAGGGAGGGAACCGGGTGATCAGGAGGAAACTCACGAGGTTGAACAGTCAGGGGCGGCAGAGGGGGATCTTTTTGGTTGGTGGGTGTGTGTGGGGGGGGGGGGGGTGCTCAGCTACACAAGAAAACATGTAACATAAGACTTTTTATGAGAAAGATGTCACGGTCATAATGAGATGGTGGTATGGCCTGGGCATTCACAGCGCGAGATAATGATATAGTATGTGATATCACAATTAATGCTTTGCATCATTGAAATTGAATCACAATTGTATTAATTCATTATAAAAAATTGACGTCAAACGGTGTGTTGGATTTCTATCCTTAAAACGTTTAGTGTATGCCTACGTAATTTGGAGACGATGATGGCATCATGCATTGTCAACTGTCAAATGGATGTCATATATAAGAGGAAACCGAATACAGAGAGTTACGCGAGCTCTCAGACAGAACGGTTCATCAAAAAACCTCCACGCAGCTTATTCTCCCCATTATATTTGGAGTCATAATTGTGCAGAACTCTATTTTAGGTTCTTGTCAAGTTATTTGTGCCGCGGCGTATTGTAAAAAAACAAAAAAACCGAATAGTTCATAATGAATTTTCTTGATATTTTGTTGTTTGACACAGTTGCGGTCGGTTTTTATAATTCCAATTTGCTTCCTTAAAGCTTCCTGTCAAAATCGTGCAGAATTGATTTTATTACATAAAACGTAGCGTTGTAGGTACATATTTTTAGTATGATTTTATGTAAAATCCCAGTCTCTGTGTTTTGTCAAAATGACCTCTGGTTACCCCAGATATACGCCAAAATGACGATAGAGACCATGTATTTATCAAAATATTAACAGGGGGGGGGGGAGAGAGAACTCGTCCCGACCTCTTGCTCTCCCCCGCCACCAAGATACAGTGTCTCAAAAACCTAGCAAACACCCTCTTGCAAAATTTCCTGGATCCGCCGATTGACAGGCAACTCTATTCCTTGTCACGTGCAGACTGGGAACCGAAACCACACCACTTGATTCAATGACAGACCTAGAAATACCCTGTTAAAGTTTTTAGACATACACTCACCTATCAGGAAAGCTAAGCAGTATGCTACTGGGGCTTGCGTCCATACAATTCCATTAGATGCCATAATTTCTGCAGTTCCATTGATATAGGCTCCTCCAACCAGAGTAGCTGTAAATATTATCTTATTTAAATATCAAATTATACGTTTTACCTGGCTTCGTGGTATCAGAAAATAAATGTTTTGTAAATTGGAATCTATCATTCATGTCGGGGTTTAAATGAAATGGAATGGGGGTTATAGTATCACTTCTCTTCACCAGTCGAGCTCAAAATGAAATGGGGTTTAAAGTCCTACACTTCTGCTCCGGCTGGGCTAATGAAGACGGGTATGCGCCATACAGTGTGCTATGACGGATTTTGCGCAGGCAGCGGCGCTACGGCCTACTCTTTTATCGAATGTCAAGGGTTCTTTTAAGTGCGCACCAAAGCGTACACGAGACCTCGGTTTTTCGTCCCATTCGAACGACTAGACGCTGTTCCTTGACAGTCCCTCAGTCGTGCACCATAGACAAGGGAAAACCACGCTGAAACCCGCCGAGGGTCGAACCTAGGAAAAAACGTATTCCTCAGTGGATCACCGTGGTTCCATTAAGGAGTGGTTAGTGAAAAATATCTCTATTGGTTTTGAAGTAAAAATTAAAGAACAGCACCTTCGAACCCTAGGTCCATTTCCGGATTCAAATGGAGATATACCCTAGGCCAGTGATTCTCAACCAGTGTGCCGCGAGATCTTCCTAAGTGTGCCGCGGAATTTTGAAAGGCACACTAAGAAAATGCGAAAAAACACATGATCCTAATTGAGTATTCGCTGATAAGTTCATGGATGTGTTTTTCTTTATTTAATTTAAGACATTCTATGTTTCTATGACTAATCTCTGTCTACGGTTGTATGCCGTCTGGCTTGCCATGTTTTTATTTTGCAAAAGTCAAATATTTTTCATATATATTTAGCCAGGTGTGCCGCTATTTCTTCATATGTTCCAAGGAGTGCTGTTGGCAAAAAAGGCTGAGAACCACTGCCTCGGGCTATTCCACTAATGAGGTCCCTCCCAATCCTTCGCCCTTTGAGCAAAGCCAAAGGTGATGACAAATGTTTAAGACTACAGCTAAATCCGGCACGTTCATATCTAAATAGCTACTAGCCCACCTATACAGAACCAATTCAGCTCAAATCAATTTTAAAATTCTTTGCAATTTGCCCTTTCCTACCAGACATAACAAATCCTTTATTCAGTGGACATTATTTCTTTTTTTGTGAGTATATATTTTTTTTTTTTTTCTTTTTTTTTTTTTTTTTTTGCAGAAGGGCACTCTCTCCGAAACTTTATTTAATATCAATTTATGTGCAATGGAAGTCTTACTAGTCCCGTCAGAAATATCTATGAGATGTAATTTTATGGGCTAACAGTGAACCTGTTCGATCAGCTCAAAGCAAATTTAAAATTCATTGACAATCTAATAGAGTCCGCAGGAACGATACTACCAATCACCGACAAGAACCGACAAGCGCGTTCTGGGAGGTTTTTTTGTCAATATCGTCCAATGTATTTTTAAAAGTTGCCGAAAAGGAAATATATGTTATAGATAGATATGTATATTTGGTAGGACTCAGCAGGAAGAAAGATTCAAAGTCACCAAGAAATGACAATACTATAACATAATAACAATTACTTACCAGTCATAGTAAAAAACGAAACAATTAATCCCATTCCACGGTTGGCTACCAAAAGTTCTTCTGTGTTGCTGGATTTGGCGGTTTTTCTTCCCGCGTAAATTCCAATAGCAAGAATAATCAAGTAAAACACAACTACAGCGATTATTCCAGGAATGTTCACCGCCATTTTTGTTTTTTAATTAACTAACAAAATATTATTTCCTTGATACCGTTCTTCCGTACGAAACTGTGGATCGACAGCTAAATGATAAATTTCTGTATTTTCTCCGCCTTTCTTCTAGACATATTTAATGTAATATAATATATAAATAAACAGAACAGAACAGCCCAGGGTAACGATAAAAAGGAACTCCTTTAGTTGGAAATGATTTTTATATTTAGACATATATATATTTAAATAAACAAATCAGCCCAGGGTACAAATAAAAACACCTAATAAACATTCTGTCCTAGAGGGTATATTTACCAATATTATGATTGACCATACATGCCGCGGGGATAATGACCGTTCATCTTAACATATTAAAAACTGATATAAAAAAACAAGTTTGTTTTTTTTTACTTAAATTCGGGCTTATAATAACTACTCAAACTTACAGACGTTTTTTCTCATATATTAATTAATTACATGTATTCCCTAATATTGAATTTTTATATAACCAATCCTTTCTAAAGAAACCTTCTAGTAATCCTTTTTTAATAGAGTTAGCAACTTACCGAATGTAATATACACTTTTAGATCAGTTTTAGAAATACATTTTCGGTGTCACAAATTTTACTATAATATTGTAATTCATTCCCTAATATTGAATTTCTATATAACGAATCCTTTCTAGAGAAACCTTGTAGTAATCATTTAATAGAGTCAGCAACTTACCGAATATAATATACACTTTCAGATCAGTTTTAGAAATGCATTTAAGGTGTCACAATTTTTACTATAAGATTCGTAATTAATCTAATATTGAATTTTTATATAACGAATTCTCTCTAGAGAATCCTTGTAGTAATCCATTAATAAAATAAGCGACTTGCCGAATATAATATACACTTTCAGATCAGTTTCAAAAATAAATTTTCGGTGTCACAATTGTTACTATAATATTAGTATTTCATTCCCTAATATTGATTTTTTATAACGAATCCATCCTTTCTAGAGAAACCTTGTAGTAATCCTTTAATAAAGTGAGCGACTTACCGAATATATATAGATCAGTTTCAAGAATACATTTTCGGTGTCACAAATTTTACTATAATATTAGTAATTCATTCCCTAATATCGAATTTTGATATAACTAATTCTTTATAGAGATACCTTGTAGTAATCCTTTAATAAAGTGAACAACTTTAAAACTTAGAGTTCGGTGTCACAATTCATGATTTTACTACTACTCTTAAGGAGCACTGATTATCATGTCTAATTCTTAATCTTGATCAAACGTTTATAATGTATTGATAAGATTGTCACTAAATCTATCTAATTCTTATTGGTCGGATCATAATCAAACACAAAGGGCTGTTTATCATAGATGTACTCTGAGGTCAATTTCATTTTCTGTTCTTCAGGAACACCTGTAAAATAATTCTTCTTATTTCTCTGGGAAACAGACTAATTTAAAAACCAAAAGTACTTGGTTACGCTGTTCAAAAGCTTTTAGTTCCAATTTTTGTTAAAGTTTTGAAATTTTAAATAAAACATCCATCATGTGATTTATCAAAACCTTGAAGAACAGAAAATAAAATTGATCTGGCCTAAGTAACCACAGCTATATTGACATTAATTTTAACAATTAAAATACAACTTAGTATTGTTAAACAGGTATTATTCAAGAGCTAAATCTGCCTATTACAGGTCTTTCTTTGGGCCTTAAATGTTATATAAACAATTAAGTGGACATTAATTTACTCAAATATACCAGTACCGTGGTTATGATAATAAACAATCAATGCACACATTTTATCAAAACCCCAAACAGTAATATCTTGGCTCAGAATAAAGTAATTAGAATTAAATTTTCGCTATATTCATTTTGCATTATCTACTTTGGTAATATTGCAGCAAGAACGGTCAGCTCTTTATCTAAATCTTACATAATGTATCTTTAAAAAGAAAGGAAACGACTATAAAACTTTTACAAAAATTACAAAACTACTAATATGATATATACCATGTTGGGATAAGATAACTTAATGTTAAATTTGGCTAACAAAAAAGAAAAATTCAAAATCAAAAAGGCTTACTAGGGGGGAATTTCTAAAACTTTCACATAACTACTATAATGATACGAAGTTGGGATAAGATAATTTAATGTTAAATTTGGCGAACAAAATGAAAAACTCAAATTAAAAAGACTTACTATTTTAATATATGTAACACGTTTAATCTATTTCCTTTCTCAATTTGATTCTAGATTTATTTCAGGTGAGAGAAAACTTCGAATAAATGATGATCAATTTGCATAATCTCCTTATATATATGAGGTTGCGGACAAGTTCAAGAGATATGGCATCGATCTCTTGTTACATCGGTCCATTCTTGGGATTTAATTATCTGTAACCGTAGACGTAGACTTTGTATTCGAGAACAACAAACTTGGACCTGTGTTTGTTTGATTTGAATACATGTTACTATGTCCATCATAAATAGCTAATGGATCATCTTTTTAGAGCATAAAAGTTCTTTATTCATTTCAAGAAGATATGAATCTTCAAGTACACACGGGTTAGGATAACAATGATGGCCGTTAATAGCACATTTCAAACGTTACGTAACTCTGGACAATATGGAAGTTTTATCGAGAGAAAATAATTTTAATGTTCAGTGCTAATCTGCTATAATCAGCGGATCTCACACGTACATAACCTCAAGCCTTATTAAAATAAATAATGATTTACTAAGATTGTTCATAAATAAGGTAGTGGTGTACAAAGGTTTGGTGATGCCCGGGGCGAACTCTTTGTTTGCACCCCCAGCCCTCTCCAAGACTCAATTAAATATGGGTTCTAGTACTAAGATATATGACAAAGAAACGCAGACTCAATTAAATATAGGTTCTGGTACTAAGAAATATGAGGAAGAAGACATTTTCAAAATGAAAAATTAAAAAGGGCAGCTAGTACAAGGAAGTTACCAGCAAAAAATTCAAATTGCAAAAAAAATAATTTTAGTTTTACTCTTAAATTGTATAGTGACGCCCAGGAACAATTTCATTTAAGGTATGCCCCAAAGACTCAAAAGAATAAAGGGCCTAGTACTAAGAAGTATGAGGAAGAAAACATTTTCAATATGTGAAGATATAGAAGAAATAAAACCTATTTTTCATATTAAAAAGGGCAGCTAGTACAAGGAAGTTACCAGCAAAAATTTCAAATTTAAAAAAACTTCATTTTAGTTTCACCCTTAAATTGAATGGTGACGTCCAGGGCCAATTTCATTGATGGTATGCCCCAAAGACTCAATTAAATATAGGGAGATGCGAAGAAGTATGAGGAAGAAGACATTTTCAATATGTAAAAATAGAAGAAATAAACCTATTATTCAAATTAAAAAGGGCAGCTAGTACATGGAAGTTACCAGAAAAAATTTCAAATTTCAAAAACCTTAATTTTAATTCCACGCTTAAATTGGATGCACCCCCCCCCCCCATACATACACCACCTGCACACCACTGCAATAAGGTAAATGGGGAGTACTCAGGCCTGTGTAAAACTATTTTGTCACATTTAACATTTTATGACACCTGGTATAACAAGTGACATTATGTAAGTATTTTAGTGTTAAAAAACAACAGATTAACGTGAAACCTCTTTGCCTTTTAACAAGTGTCTCGGTGTAATTATTTAATTATTTTTGTTTGTACATTGTATTTTCTTTTTCACATTGTTTTAAACTGTAGATTTTGCTCTGGGGCTCTAGCTGTTCTGAGTGTATGTGACACAGCAAAAATCCATGCGTATAGGTTGAATTTTACTAAATAAAGGTTTGTCTGCGATATCACTCAGATTGAAAGTTGACATTAAATCCCCAAATTACCAAATCCCCAAAGTTAAATTTGAAAATTAAATTTAAAAGTTAAATTTAAAAATTAAATTTAAAAGTTAAATTTAAAAATTAAATTTAAAAGTTAAATTTAAAAATTAAATTTAAAAATTAAATTTAAAAGTTAAATTTAAAAATTAAATTTAAAAGTTAAATTTAAAAATTAAATTTAAAAGTTAAATTTAAAAATTAAATTTAAAAGTTAAATTTAAAAATTAAATTTAAAAATTAAATTTAAAAATTAAATTTAAAAATTGAATTTAAAAGTAAATTTAAAAATTAAATTTAAAAGTCAAATTTAAAAGTCAAATTTAAAAATTAAATTTAAAAGTCAAATTTAAAAATTAAATTTGAAAATTAAATTTAAAGATTAAATTTAAAAATTAAATTTGAAAATTAAATTTGAAAATTAAATTTGAAAATTAAATTTAAAAATTAAATTTCAAAATCAAATTTGAAAATTAAATTTGAAAATTAAATTTCAAAAAAATTAAATTTCAAAAAAATTAAATTTGAAAATTAAATTTGAAAATTAAATTTGAAAATTAAATTTGAAAATTAAAAAATTAAATTTGAAAATTAAAAAATTAAATTTGAAAATTAAAAAATTAAATTTGAAAATTAAATTTGAAAATTAAATTTGAAAATTAAAACTGAAAATTAAATTTGAAAATTAAATTTGAAAATTAAATTTGAAAATTAAATTTGAAAATTAAATTTGAAAATTAAATTTGAAAATGAATTTAAGAATGAAAGAGGTAATTTTGGGACTAACATATGGTTCAATTCTATTTCAATCATGCGCATAGAGGGCGAAACCGGAGGACCGGGAGAAAACCCTCGAGATAGGATAGGTGACCCTACTCTTGCCACGCTCAAGCGGTGAAGCGAAACCACTCCACTTGACGCATTAGGACCCCTATGATCTAAAGGGCACGCGTTAAACGAGAAAACCCGTGACCCTACCCATTGCCACACACAAGCAGTGAAACGAAACCACTCCACTTTACGAAGTAGGAGCCTATGATCTAAAGTGCATGCGTTAAGCCCCCCCACCCCCCACCCACACACCCACACACTTCCCAATACACACACATACACCCCCCCCCCACACACACACACATGCT